TGGAGTTATTCTGCTCAAGTACGAACGCTTAATAGGTAATGATATTACATGGATACAGCTCTTAATTGGGACTCTCTTTCACGTGCCCATTGTCCACTAATCAGTATATTATTTTTACATTTTTTTTTATAATAATAACCTTTTTTAATTTTTTATATCATATTATTAATTTTATCATTTTTCATTTAATTATAAAAAACATTACCCTATTTGAATTGGTATTACGCACCTTTTAGAACCCTCTAATGGTACATTTTATAAAATGATTTTTAATTTTTATTATATTTTTAATGCATAGAGTTAGTGAGACCTGAAGTTAAAATTAAGAAAAACAAATGCTAATAATAATAAAATAATAACAACAACAAAAAGAGAATAAAATTGTAATGTTATAATAAATATAGATAAGTCTAATGCAGTTGCTTTTTGTTTATGAAATTACCACTAAATGATAGTTATATTAATTTTTGAAATTAAAAAAAATAAAAACAAAAAACTTATATTCATTAATTTTAAAAATTAAAAAAAGTTAATTTTTAAAAAATAAATAATAATAATAATTTAAAAAATAATTTAAACATGACTCTATGAATATTTAGTAAACAGTAAAATAAATAAAAGCGTAAATTTACAAGTTTGGGAATGGAAAATATTTGGTCAGACTATATTAGAAAAAACTATATTTACTTTAGTAATTTCTTCCTTATGATCTTAGAAAATGGATTAATGTATGGCTGTTGACTACAAATATCTTAACATATTAAAATAAAAAGTTGCCGATTAAGTATGTCAATGTGAAGAAAAAAAATGCAGCCCTATTATAATATATATTTTCCACTATATGATAATGATATCCACAATATATAATTTTTTTCCTTTTAATTATTTTAAAAAATAAAAATTATGATTTTGAGAATAATTTTAAAAATAATCAATTTTTTGTAATTTAAAAAATTAAATATAAACTTAACAAATTTTTAATATATGTTTAAGCACACATATATTAGATTTTGATTATTAGATTTTAATATAAATAGTTAAAATAAAAATATACAAGTTAGGTAATTTTTTAAAAAATTATATAATTTTTTAAGTCATTATATTTTTATTTAGAGTAAAATATTTATTTAAATAAGAAATTAAAAATAAAAAAACATTGTAAAAAATAATTTATTTTATGTCTATTCATCACACTAAAATATAGTCCTTTAGATGTGCAAAGATTTGAGTAGCTATGTGTATAAAGTGAAAGTTTATAAAATTGTAAATATAAAAATTTATAATTTTGTTTATATAAAAATTGTAAATAAAAGAGTTTGTAGTTTTATCTAATTAGAAATTCTAAAATAATTATATTAAAAATTTGTAAAGGTAAGTATAAGATATTGAAACATGTTAAAAGTTGTTTTTTTCATATTACTTTTTATTTCATATGATTACTTATTTATAGAGAATTTAGATGACTCTATTTTTTCTCTCAAGAGTAGTGTTAGAACTTATGATTTATTTTGATGATTACATTTAAGTGCAGTATTGGTTAAAGATGATAAAAATTAAATGAAAAATAGTTAAAGAAAATGATTCTTTTAATAAGTGGAAGAAAAATCATGTTAGATGATAAATTTTATAGGGAGGATTGTAAGAAAACTAAGAGGATTAAAAGAAAAGTTGTTGACCAAGTAAAAAACTGTGATAATTTAGATGAAGAGAAAATTAGTTGAGTTAGAATGAGTTATTCATCTAAGTCACATATAGAAAGTCTAAACGAAAAATATAGAAAAAATTATAAAATAAGATAATTTATTTTATATTTACTCACCAAAATAACTTGTAGTTTATTAAAACTATATTTAGATTTTATGTTTAAGAAGAAAAGGAAAAAGAAGGAAGAAGTTACTGAGTTTAACGTTAGTTAAGAAAGGAAGAGTTAAATGATTTTTCTAACTTCAAAACTATTTTAATGTTGATTTTTTGAGTTTCTTTGTTGGATTTTTCTTTTTCACTCTCTCATCAAGATAAGATTTTATTTGTTTAAAATATTAGTTTGTAAAGTGAATTTTTTTTTTAAAAATAAAATTTAATTTATTATATTTATTAAAAATAAAAATATGAATAGAAAATACAAAAGATAATAATATTATTTACATAATTAAATTTCATTACTCCTTTTTTTTACTGTTAAACATTTGAATAGATTGGTTTAACTCTCATTTTTCATGTATTTTTCTTCTTTCCTTTCTTTTTCTGTGCCTTTTTTTCCTCTCTTTTTCTTTCAAATTTTTTCTTCCAAAAGTTATAAATGAAAGAGTTTGTAATTTTATTTAATAAAAAATTTAAATAATAAATTTGTTTCAGAATTTCTTAAATATAGGTAAAAGTGTTAAATCACATTAAAATTTGTATGATTTTTTTTTACTCTTATTTTCTCTTTTTTCATGTTGATGTTGTTCTAGAATAGTTAATTTAGATGGCTTAACTCCCTCCCTCTAACGTTACCTTTTAAAATTTTTAACCTTAACTATTCATGTATATTTTAGATTTATTATTTTCTTTTATATAAAAAGCTGATTTAATATATATTTTAATGAAAGAATTTTTATTTTTTTACGAAAGGATGAAAAAAAATTAATTATTAAATTTTATCACAAATAATCAAGAGAATTACTTTAATTAATAACTTTTCATAAACATTGAATTTCGTCTATTGAGTTATTAAATTAAAAAAATTTCTTAAATAAATAAGTTTTAAAAAAATTGTACAGATTAAAACTGAATAATAATTCATTAAACAACTTTATATTAATATATAATATAATTTTAAAAGTATAAGTAAATATTGGTTATAAAATTATATATCATGAACATTTAATTTATTTAAAATTTGACATGCAGGATTACACAAAAATATGTAACTTCATTTAATGATTAAATTAAAAGAATTTAATACTGATAAAAATAAAGAGTTCCTCTTGTTTAGTCAACACTCAACACAGTGTTTCACTCCTTGGCATAAAAAAAAAATAATAATATATAAAAATTATAATATTATTTACTTATAAATAGTTATATTAATAAAAATTCATAACTTTTTTAAAATTAATTTACAATTTTTTTATCTTATATTTTAATTATTAGACATTATAAAAAATTTATATTAGAAGTACATAAAAATTAAACTTAAATAAATATAATATAGCACATAAATTTTAAAACATTTGTTAACCAATATATTAAGGTTGTAGTTAAACAATAATAAAAAATAAAAATAAAAATAAAAATATGATAAACATATATTTATAATATTTATAAAAAGACACTAATTAATATATTCAAAATAAATGATAAAAAATATTTTACATGTAAAACTTAAAAGGGGTGATCGAAAATCGAGTTTACGCGTGAAGGAACGCGGCTTGACCGTCAACAATGTCAAAATTTCAACACTCTGCACTGCTCATACGCCCAAGCAGCGCAGCTACCTCTCACTGCCACACTAATTTCTCTCTTTCATTCACTGCTATTACTACAATCCCTTATCCATATTCTATAGTAACTGTAATTACTTCTTTTTTTATTTTTTATTTTTTATTCTTCTTTTATAGTTAAATTTCAAAAACCAATAATTCATATTTTTGTAGCTTTGAAAAATAACACTACTTAAGTAACATTATAAATAAATAACAAATAAGTCATTTTTGTTAATTATTGAAAGGGCTTAAAATAATTTGAATCTTTCTGATGAATGCAATAAAATAAAATTTAAAATATTTAATACTTATTAAATACTTTAACTATTTCAAATATAATTAATATATGACCATTCTAATTTTTAAAATACTTTTATTTCTTATATTACATTTTAATTTTCGTAAATAATATTGAACAATATTTAAAAACAAATTATTAAACAAGTGTATAAGTAGTGTTAAACAAATTATTAAACAAATTATTAAACATGCTCTACTGAGGGTTGTCTAAGTCTTGTAAAAAATATGTATAAATTATAATTTGTTTCATTATGTTATGATTAATATATTAAATATGATTATGACATATTTTAATTTTTAAAAAAACAAAACATTTTTAAAGATTTTCTATTTTAATTAAAAAAGGAAAAAATATAGATAGACTAATTATTTTGATATTTTATATGTTTTTTAAACTAATTCAATTCAACCACGTGTATTATGATTGAAATTAAATCATATAGTTGTGGATGAACAAGGATGGCCTTACAAGATAAGGTTCAGAGGAACTAAATCCAGATGCCTTCAAACGTATTAATCGAAAGTTGATTTACAAAAAATATCTTCTAAAGAGAAACTGTATTTACTTCGATAACATTGACATCTAAATGACTTAGTCCTGATTAATAATGATTATCGACTAAGAGATTCCTAAAAAAGATAAAAATATACAGTTATATTATGATTGAAATTTGAAAAGTACATCAAGTGTGCTACTCCTGCAATCTATTTTTATTTTCTTTTATCTCATTAATTATATAAATAAAAATATCAATTTCATTAATTATTATTTTTATTAAATTATCACTGTTATACTTGTTAAAGTGATTATAGGAGTTAACATAATTAACTTTAAAAATATTTTAACTGTTTTATTAAAAAACAGAATATCTACTATAATAAATATTTAAAATTTTATTATTATTATTATATTACATGTTTAAATAGTTATTGTTGATAAATTTTGTGTTCAAAGTTTACAAAATGTAATATTTTTAATGAAAGCTTGTACTATTGTATCACTTTTTATGTGTTAACAAAATAATAAAGGAATGAAGGGCATAACGTTAATAAAGAGATAAACCATGGTTAAGTTAAATTAAAGTTGGAGTCCGCCAAGTTTAGCATCAGCATCAGCTGAGCTCACATCCCCGTACGGACAAGATGACGCGTGTCTTCTCGTCCCCCGAACAACGCGCTTTCTATCTCTCACCGCCCTATTTATCACCCTCTCTCTTGTTCCTTTTTCTTCCCATTTCACTTCCTCTTCCCCCGTCTCTGCTTCTCTTCATCACTCACAGTACTGCTATCATCAACACTCCCTTTTGATATATTCATTACACTCTCACTATTATTTCAAACACTGATTTACATGGCTTCGCCAGAAAACTTAGCTACCATTGAACCCTGGATGCCTCGTCCCGCAGTAACTGATTCATGGCTAGCCGAGTACATAGCTCGCGATGCTGACACGTTAACCAAGGCTCTTCAGAAATCCTTCTGCGCTGCTGAGGATAACGTCTCCCCGTTTCTCGTCAAGCCCTTCACCGACGCTGCTGCTGCGACTACTCCCACGGTTTCCAGTCTCTCTGGCTCTGATCAGGAATCCGCGCCGAGACGGCGCGGCGCGGTGCCTGCGTCGGGGAAGATTTCAAAGAGGAAGTCGCGCGCGTCAAAGAGGTCGCAGACGACCTTCATCACGGCGGACCCGGCGAACTTCCGGCAGATGGTGCAGCAGGTGACCGGGGTGAGGTTTGGGGGCGCGGGGGTGCCAATGACGCCGGCGGTAGTGAAGCCAGAGCCTCAGAGGGCGGTGGGAATCGGCGGAGGGAGGTTGCCGGCGGGGGCGGGGGCGGGGTGTCTGCCGACGCTGGACACGTCAGCCTTATTGTTGGAGCATCACCAGCAGGTTGTGGTGGGGCCAAATTCGGTGGCTGCTGGGTCTGGTGGGCTTTCTGGGCCGGGCCCACTCCCTTTCGCCCAATCTCTCGGGGGCCTAGACGCTCACGCTGCTTCCTTTGCTTCTGCGGGTTTAGATTTTGACACTTTCTCCAGCTTTCCTACTCTGGAGTCGTGGAAAGTCATGTGAGAGATGAGATTCTCCCCAATTTTTCTTTTTTCCCTTTCCCCCCCCTCTCGTGGGTTCAGGAAGTTATCATCTTCTAGTGGAGGTTCATATCAGGGTAGCTAGGATCTGTATGTAAATTTGGGAAGGGAGTGGATATGGGTGTAGTATCTTTTTTTTCTGTGTAATTTTATGTTACATATTATGAGGGGTGTATTGGTGATATGGTAACTTTGTTTATTTTAATTAACCTAATTAATGCAATTCCAAGTTTATGTATCAGCAATGTGGTTTGCATCTTTTTGTTACTTAACCGAAACAACATTTTGCTTGAGCTAATGTGTCGGATTTTATCTTAAAAAATATTTTGAACCCTGAAAGAAGAAAGATTTGGGAATTATGGATAGATATTTAATTGAATGTGGTATGCGATTCCATGTGCAGCGTGTCAACATTGTTTTGCTACCTGTCCATGTATTGGTCTAAGGACTCTGACTCAGTCTTGGAAGTTTCAGGGAAAGGGGGGGCTTCGTGTGTGAAGTTTGAACGCAACTTGATTGCTTTTGGGTCAATTTGGGTGGTGAGCCAAGTTATTTCCTTGTAGTGGCTACATGCTGTGTTAAGTTAAAATCTGTGTTCCGTGGCTGCTTCTCCCTCCCCTGCAACGGGGTGGTCCAGGTGTTAAAAAGCACCGGGGCGCGCTTTTATGGTTTAAGATAATATAAGCATATCTTTCACTTTCATTGAAAGAGTGTCTAGGCCACTGTAGGCCAAGATTCGTTTTTGCATTTTGTTTTTGGGTTTTTCCCCTTTATTTTCACTTGCATTTTTGAAAACCATGTCTATTTCTGTTTAATCATTTCCGTAGCTTTCATGTCACCGAATCCTTTAGTCAATATCAATTTTAGAAAACCAAAGCTTCGGCATCAAAACCTCCATTTTAAACCAAATTTGCATGTTTGTGGCACTTGTGTCATTGCTGAGTCCCCCTAATTTTGATCGGTAGGTTATCCGTTTCTTTTCGGCTTTGACTGTTTCTTTCTATCTTTGCAAGAAATGGAGGAAAAAAAAAATTAAGAAAATGTTAGCAGTGTTCGGAATTAAAATTGATTTTGGATGAATCCTCAATACAATTTTTAATAATAAACTGATGTTTGTGTACTAACATTCCTCATCTATGTATATGTTATATGTATATGTGGGTACATTATGAAGGAAGCAGCTTGGGCATCAAGTCCCCTTAGACTAGGAACTGTACTGTATTTGACTAGTTCGATTTGCTTCAGCAGACATATCCATGTGACCATGTGACCACTTCATTAACCAGCACTTAAGCTTATTGTTCGGTTCTAAAGCATTTACCTGTTAACATGTTGGGATCTTTTATAATACTCCGCATAGAAATCTAGAACGACCAAGTCTGAGAATGCGTGGGCGTTTTTTATTTAATTTAAAGTAATATAAAAATAATAATTATCTCATCAACTACTTGATATTATCTTAATCAAAAGCATGTTGGGTTTACTCGAGTCAAAAGGATTAATATAAGAATCAAACATCTAATTGTGTTAGGTAGGAGAATAGTCTGACTTGAGTCTTGAGAAATCTCTAAAACTATTTTCTATTAATACATTGCGGACAACATAAATAATTTCTTTTATCAAGAGTACCAAGTGTCAATCCATTAAGGATATAAAAACATAGAAACTATATATTTCATTCAAATAGGATATCTAGATCACACTTGAAAATTTTATAACTAAGGTTGTTTAGAAGGGGGAAAAAGGGTAGGCCAGATTTTTCACAAAAGCATATCCCAAAATCAGATAATTAAATGATTGAATATCAATGCAAACTAGGTCTTCTTCCGCTGTCTAAAAGAATGTTTTTTCCCCTTCATTTGAGTCATTGGATGACATTTTTCTCCATCACTTTTCCCTAATCTGCTAGTGTCTAGTGCCCACTTAAGAAATATCCTTCTAATATAGGCGCTTGTTCTTTTTGAAACACAGCATTCAGCTCAGAACGTGGTTTTTTCCATTATGATGCTGTAAAGATATTGTCATTTATAAATAATTTAGCATTAAATTAGTCTTTATTAGTATAATACTTTTTAATGATAATTAAATTATCAGCAGAGACATTATTAACTTATATTAATCGCATAATATATATGCGTATATATTAACAAATGATTTTATTATTATAAACTATCATATTTTATCAATACAATTACATATTAATATAACATATTAGTATAGACTTTCAAAATTATATTAATGGTTTGATTTTCGTAAGGAAATTTTAAATTTTAAAAGTTTTTATCTGTTAGCAAATAATTTTTTTAGTGTACCTTTGCCTAATATTTGTCCGGAACGAAAAGTTTGCTCTTCAAGCTACAATCACGGTCCTAAATTAGCAAATGACATTCCTTCTAAATCGAGAAAAAAAAATCTGAAATTTAAGGGAATAATATATATATATATATATATATATATATATATATATATATATTAATGGATTAATATGAACTTTCTTTTCTCATGACCTTTTTTGCATAAATGCAAGATAGCATAACCTTTAAAAAAATATTGATATGACTGCATCCAAATTCAACTGATTTTACGTGTTTTGTTGTTGCTTGAACTCAAAAATTCTTATAGGAATTCTTTGGTCAAACAAAAAAAAAAACATCAACCATCACGATTTTCTGTACAATTGCATCAGAAATCAGCTTTATATATATATATATATATATATATATATATATATATATAAGAAAATAGTAATTTTAATAAAAATGACTATTTTCTTAGTAAATTTATCATTTATCTTGTCATTCATCATGTAAAAATGTATTTTTTTTCATCTATACTTAATTTCTCATAAATATAGTAGTGAGATCGACTAATTATAGAATCAAGACAATTGGTCGGACAAAATCCCTTTTATAGCAATACTCGAAAGTTAAACACTAAAATAACAACAACAAAAAAAGTTTATTTAACGTCAGATTACTATTTGGTAAGAAAGTCCATTCTAATATCAAACTCTAAAATAATAGCACATAAAATCTAGAGCATTGACTAGATAAAATCCTTTTGAAAATAGTTATTCTAAAATTAAAAATCTAAAATAACAAATAAAATTTATTTAAAGTCACAAATCACAATTCATCGCCGGTAGGACTTGTTACTAATGGTAAGAAAAATCATTCTAATATTAAGTCAATAAATACCCTTTTAGATCGATAAGTAAAAAAATGATTTTGATGGGTTAAAGCTAATGTCTAGTAGGAATAGGATTGAATCGAAGAAACCAATTATCATATTAGTTAAAATTCGAAGCAAGCAATTAATTTGGATGAGTTAAGAGGAAGGAAAGCAAGCCCTCCACATAAACAAAAAACATTTTGGGAGAGGAATGGGTTACTAAATTTCAAACCCTTGAAAGACGAATAATAATTGCGAAGGAGTGAGGAAAAGAGGGCCAATGAAATAAAAAGAGATGACGAATGCAATAACGTAAGTATTTGAAAGCTACATTTGGATGAAAAGGAGATATAGATGCCATTGTGCCCCACAGCTAAGCTTACTTTATCACAAAAAATTGTTTTTCGTCCAATGCGGATGAAGAGAAGATTAGAAAAGGAAAGAAGTAAGTTGTGTATCAAGTTAGCATGCACCCACTAATACGTTATTCCTTTCTTTTCGATTCTCTCCCAAATTCTTTGCACTAATTATGCCAATTTTTTAAGTTCCAATTCAATTCAAGATTAAAGATTAAATATAGGGTTTAGGGTAGATAAGATCCTAACAATAATTTGCCCTAAGCTACTTTATTTTGTGGTTATATAGCATCATAAGGGGTCCTATTTGTAATAGTACTTCTATTTACGTTGTATGATTGATAACAGATAACATCATGAAACTTTACTATCAATAGAAGAATAATGGAAACAAGTAGTTCTAGAAGCAGGTTCCTAGTGACTTAATTTGAGGTGCATATACAAACTCATGTCAATAACACAGTTCATTAACAGCTATATTCATGAACTAACGAACTGAATTTAAGATAAGAGTTTTGGTTCATTATGCCTTGACTTATTTTATTTGTTATTTGAATATATAATCCAAAATAAGAAGAATTGTTTTTTTTTTCAATCTAGGATCATTTCTATTTTAGTCCTCATATTTAGGTGATACCTGAGTCTTTTTTTTTATTTAACTTCCCTTAAACCCAAAAGATAAATTATAGCAAAAATATATTTAAAAAATGATCTTGAGAAAAAGTACTTTTTTAATGAAAAATGAAACAATGTAACCTTTATAAAAGTTAAACTAATTAGAGAGATAAATTATATTGTTTAAAGAAAAAAATTCGTTAAAATAATTGAATAAAAGACTACCTTAAAACATACAGCACTGAGCAGTCTCTAAACTTTCCATAGTGTACATTTTAGTTTTTCAAATGTCCATTTTTATACAAAATTATTTATGGGAAATGTTCAATTTATCCCTTCCTAGTCAAAATGTAGTTTGGTATTAAATTTTTAAAAATGAGAGTTTCCATCAGTACTTTAAATAGATACATGTGAGAGCTTTAGGAATATTGAACAGTCAAGAAATAAAACATGGAAAATAATTAGATTTGTAAATTCTGTAATGTAATTCATGTTTTAGAGTGAAAATTCACAACAGAAAATAATTAGATTTAGACCGTTTTAAAAGAATTTAGTTTTGGCCCTTTTATATTATTTTCAGCATTTAATAATGTTGTTTTTTTTAAAGGAATCTTAACTTTGATACTAAACCTTTGTGTTGATTATAAATAGTACTTTTAGGACTAAAATAACGGTTTTAGAGCATCTTCAATGGGAGGTGCTTAACCACCTTTTCTAAATCAGCAACCGTTGCTTTATCAAGAATTATGTATAGAAAATTAATTGACGTAAACAACATAATAAGTACATTTACTAAATTAAGCAATTGTTACAAAAAAATAATTATCGAGCAGCATAATTAAAAAAAAAAAAAAACAGTGATGACATATCAAAACATGAAATAATTTGTGGTGGGAATCATTTAATAAAATTTTTGAGACCCCATGATTGGAAATGAGAGTTGTTTAAATAGCAAAACAAATAAAATAAAAGTAATGTGTTATCGTAAGATCCACATAAAAACTAATAAAATAAATTTAAACAATTTGAAAGAGTTTCACTGTTGAATTTATTATTAAAATTATCTTGTGGTGTTTAACCGATATCTAGATTCTTAATTTTCTATAATTAACAAATTTGTTTTTT